CTTCCGTCTCCCCTCCTCCTTGCCCTCCCCATCTCTGGTGACCTCTGTTCCACATGTTCTTCCTCAAGGGCTTCCTGGCTTCCCCAGGTGAGTAAAAACGCATAGGATTCATCTTTCTGCGGGCTTGTTTCAGTCCACACAGTGACTGTTTCAGTCCACACAGTCCCACCCACGTTGCTGCACAGGGGAGGATTTCACTCTCTGCCGGGGTGGATGTTATTCTGTTACATAAATACACCACCTCTTCTCTCTCCATTCATCCATGGAAGGGGGTCCGATTCCGTATTTTGATTATTGTGTGGTCACATATCTTTTTGGAATGATGACATCAGCTCCTTTGCTCACTTCCTACAAGTGGAATTGCTGAATCATACGTGTTTCTATTTTTAGTATTTTTCTTTTGAGGAATTTCATGCTCTTTCCACAGTGGCTGTACTAATTTACATCCCGCCAACACCTCCCTGTTCTCCATATCCTTGCCAATTTGACATCCTGTGCAAATTAAGCCTACATTTCAATTTGATGTAACTCCATTTGTCTATTTTTGCTTTTGTTGCCTATGCTTTTAGAGTCCTACCTAAAGCACTGTTGCCACATCAGTATCTTAAAGTGTTTCCTAGTGTCTTCTGGAAATAATTTCGTAGATTCAGGTTTAAGGTTTAGGTCTTAGGTCCCTTTTGAGAGGAAAGGATCTAGTTTAATTCTTCCACTCATACATATTCAATTTTAACAACATTATTTATTGAAGACACTGTTTGTTCTCTTTTGTATGTTCTTGGTGTCTTTGTAAAAAAAAATGGGCTGGTTGCATGAGTGTGGATTAATTTCTGGATTCTCTATTCTGTTCCATTGGTCTGGCTCTATGCCAGTGTCATACTGTTTTAGTAACTATAGTTTTGTAGTATGTTTGGAAGTCAGGTGTTGTAATACCTGTGGCCTTGTTTTGTTTGATTCTTTATTTTTGTCTTTTTGAGACAGACTCTTCCTAACAAGTTCAGGCTGGCCTTGAGCTCACTTTTGTAGCTCATGCTGGTCTTGAACTTGCAATAATCCTCCTGCCTCAGCCTCCCAAGTGCTGGGACTACAGGTGTGCACCACCACACCTGGATTTGTTAGTTTTTTAGATAAGGATAACTTTGGCTACTTTGAGTCTTTTGTGGTTCCATATCAATATTAGGATTTGTTTTTCTATTCTGTGAAGAAAGTTGTTGGTATGTGCATAGGAACTGCTTTGAGTCTATGGATCACTTTGGGTCTTATGGTCATTTTAGCAATGTTGAGTCTTTGGATCCATGAACATAAGATTTTTTCCATTTTTTTGTCTTCTGTAATTCATGTTGTCAATGTTTTATAGCTTTTATTGTAGAGATCTTTAATTTTCTTAATTAAATTTATTCCTCAGAATTTAATGTTCTTGTAACTATTGTGAATGAGGTTGCTTTCTTAATCTCTTTTCAGCAAATTCATCATTAATGTCTACAAATACTCCTGCTTTTTATGTTGGCTTTGTACCATGCAGCTTTACCAAATTTGTTTATAAATTCTCAATTTTTTTGATGCAATATTTTTGATGTTTAGAATCATGTCACCTACAAACATAGATAATTTAACTTCATCCCTTCTAAATTGGATTCCTTTTCTTCCCACTGGCTAATGGCTCTTGCTAAGCCTTCCAGTATTGTATTAATTGTGGTGAAAGACAGCCTTGTCTTGGTCCCCATCTTAGAGGAATACTATAGCTTTTCCCTGTTTAGCATGATACTAGCTTTGGGGTTTACTTATACAGCCTTCAGTATTCTGAGGTGTGTTCCTTCTGTACATAATTTTTTTGGGGGGTTATTATGCAGAGATGTTAAATCTTCTTGGATGCTTTCTGTGTTGTGTCCTTCATTTTGTTGATGTATTTTAACACATTTTATTGATTTAAATATGGCAGACCATTCTTGCATCCCTGAGATTAACTTGGTTATCATGAATGATCTTTTTGGTGCACTGCTGAATTCAGTTTGCTAGTATTTTATGGAGATTCCTGCATATGTGTTCATTAGGGATGTGGGTCTGTAATTTTTCTTTCTTTCTTTCTTTCTTTTTTCTGTATATTTTGTTTTGGTGTTGGTTTGGTAATGCTGGGCTCATAAAAAGTTTGCCAGAGTTCTTTCCATTTCTGTCTTTTTGGGTACTGGAATTGGCTCTTTTAAAATGTTTTGTAGAATTCAGCTATAAAGCAATCAGGCCCTGTTTTTTTTTTTTTTTTGATGGGGGAATTTTAACTACTATTACAACCTCATTGCTCATTATTGGTATGTTTAGATTTTTAATTTCTTCATTGTTCAGGTCGGTAAGATGTACATGTTAAGGAGTTTTTCTATTTCTTCTAGGTATCCAGATTTTTTCACATATAATTTTTCATAGTAGTTTCTTATAATCTCTTGTATTTTTGTAGTATCAGCTGTAATGTATGATTTTTCATCTCTGATTTTATTTGGTTTATTTCTCTTTCCTCTCTTCTCTCTCTCATTTAGTCTAGCTAAATGTTTGTCAATCCTTTCAAAATACTAACTCTTTGTTTCACCAGTCTTTTGTATTCTTGTAGTTTTAATTTTTAATTTCTTTCTGCTCTGATCTCTATTGTATCTTTCCTTCTACTAATTTTGGATTTGGTTTGTTCTTGCTTTTTTTGTGCCTTTGTGATACATTGTAAGGTTCTTTATTTGAGATCTTTCTAGTTTTTTGTTATATGCCTTTGATGCTATAAACTTCCCTCTCCGTGCTGCTTTTGCTGTATCCACAGACTTTAGTATGCTGTGCTGTCAAATTCGTTAGTTTCTAGGAATTTTTGACTCACCTTTTATTTTCTGCCATTACTCACTAGTCACTTAGAAGCACTTTATTCAATTTCCATTGTGTATGTATATCCACTCTTCATGCCGCTTTGTAGTTTTCATCCACTGTGGTCTGAGAAGACATATGGTATGTTTTCAATGTTTAGAATTTTTACTGGGACTTGCTTTGTGGCTGAGCACATGATCTATCCAGAAAGATACACTGGATAGCTTCCCATGCTGACGAAGTCAGTGTGTAATTTGCCGCTGTTGATGAAATGTGCTGTAAATGTCTGTGAGGTCCACTGCCTCCAAAATATGGTTCTGCTCATGTTTCTTCCTTGACTTTGTGTCTGGATGATCTGTTGACTGCTGAAAGTGGAGTGTTAAATCCTCAGGTATTATCGTAGAAGAGTTTATCTTTCCTTTTAGATCTAATGACATTTGCTTTATGTATCTGGGTGGTCCTATGTTGGATGCATATATGTTTGCAATTATTACATGTTCTTATTGAATTGATCATTTCATCAATGTGTAGTGACCGTTGTTTCTTTTTACAGTTTTGATTTAAAAATCTGCCTTATGTGATATGAGTACAGCTACTCTTGCTAATTTTTTGTTTCCATTTGCATGACATATGTTTTCCTAAACCCTACTTTGTGTGCATGAGCAAGTGAAGTAAGTTTCTTGGAGGCAGAGTATAGTTGGGTCTTGTTTTTCTTTATCCATTCAGCCAGTCTATATCTTTTGATTGGTGAATTTAATCCATTTACATTAAAAGTTACTACTGACTATAGAAATATGAAGTTCTTGCTGAACTTCTTGCTGAAGTATGAAGTTCTTTATTAATTATATTTTGATTGTTTTATATATTTTTTGTTTTTTGTCTCTTTCCACTTTGTATTATTTGTTTTTGTAATTTGATAGTTTTCTGTCATGCTACGGTTTGATTTTCATGCTTTCTTTTTTCACATATCTGTTCTTTTAGTGAGTTTTGTATGTCTGCGGGTTTTTATGATGGTAAGTATCGTCCTTTCATTTCTCTTATAGGGCTCCCTTAAGCATTTCTTGTAGGGCTGGTCTGCTGGTGATGAATTCTCTCAGTTTCTACTTATGTGGGAAGCAGTGTATTTCTCCTTCCATTTTGAAGGATAATTTTTGGGGGGATGGTATTCTTGATCGGCAGTCTTTTTCTCTCAGTACTTTGAATATACCACGCCATTCTGTTTCAGCCATAAGCTTTCTGCCGAGAGATCTGTTGTGAGTCTGATGCGCCTTCCCTTGTATACGACTTGATGCTTTTCTCTGGTTGTTTTTACATTCTCTTTGATTTGTACCCTTGCCATTTGACTGTCATATGCATTGGTGAAGGTTTGTTTTGGTTGAATCTAGTTGGAGTTGCTTGAGCTTCTTGAATCTGGTTATCCAATGTATTTTTGAAGATTTGGGACATTTCCAGCCATTATGTCACAAAATATGTTTCCAATACCTTTCTCCTTTTTCTTCATGAGGACCAGATTTTTCCACCTTTTACTGGTGTCTAGGAGTTGAGAAAAGATGACGCTGCCTCTGTCTCTGCCGGCCGGTCACTGCACCGCCAGCTGCTTGCAGCTCGGAATCGAGGTCATTAAGGGAGGGGTGCGTCAGCGCCTGGAGGCTGCCAAAGAACCGGAAGGCTAGTGTCAAAACACGGGGAGAAATCCTGACCCGATTTTCTTGCAGTAGAAGAGCCTTCCCTTCCCTAGGACCCCATAGAAATGAGGAAAGTCACCCCCTGGTATTACAGTACAAGCTGTCCTAGAGCCCTTTCTCCCAAATGTCTCTATTTCTCCAGCCATTTCTGAGCTAAATGCCACCAGCTTGTGTCAGAATTTGTGAAGAAATTCCTTGTTAAAAACTTCCCTGGTTTCCATTTGACGTCATCAGGCTCTTTCCACGCCGTCCATCTGTGGAATGCGGGAAATCGGCTCAAGGACCGTATCCGTGACCAAGCCTCACCATGCTCCTCCTCACTGCCTGAGCCCCATTATAGTGACGGTGCTGCGCTCTTCTTAGTCGGGGGTGGTGCCCTGCCTCGCTACAACACCGCCCTACTGTTAGCTGACCAAGGGCAGGCCCTGTGCCCAGAAGAGACCCCCATGTATCAGCTTTTGCTGGGCAGCTGCTGCCTGACATTCGGGCACAGTCTCAATGGCTCCCACACATGTGCCCGTGCCTAGGTTACAGGGCGGTGGGTAGGCTGCGCCCAGCAGGCCTGGCCGGTTG